TATTGGAAATTGTTAGACAGTTTTCTTAACCAAAAATCCTTAGAAACTCATTTATTAATAAATAAAATTATTGAGTTTTTTTCATTTTTTATTTACCATATATACATCCATTATAATAAACAATGAATTATCTCAAAATTTTTAAAATTCAGAACTTTTAGAATTACTATCATTTACAATTAATACCTGAGTAATAAAAATTAATTATTTAGTTATTCAAAAAGTATGATGACTTTGAAAAATGATGCACCAATAATCTAAATATTAAAATAATTATAAAAACAATTAATATTTAATATGAAAAATAAAGTAGCAGTATCAAATGATCACTTTTATTTATTAATAATATAAAAACTATAAATTATGAATTAATCATCAAGATTTATAAAGTAGAATGAAAATAATTAACAACAATTATAATTATAAGAAAAGTTGATTTAAATAGAGAATTTAATATAACAAACATATGATGAATGTGAATTGTTAATAAAATGGTTTAGAAATTTAACAGAATCAATATTTTCACCATTAGTTAAATTAAAAATGGAAATTCTGGACAAATATCAGATTTCAAAAGGCAGGCTTGATGAATTGGATTTAATATTAATAAATAACGCATATTTTAATATCTTAACTTTTAAAGACTATTAAAAAGATTTTAAAATTGCATTAGAGAAAGAAGCTAATAATTAAATATCTATTATTAAAAAAAAGAATTCAGAATTATATTTAAATTAAATATTATATTCAACAATAAGGTATGAAGATATTGCTAATTCAAAAAAGGAGTAGGATAAAGGTATTGATTTTATTAATCTTAGCACATTCTTAATTTCCTCAAATAATATTGTTTAACTATATAATGGAACGAAGGAAAATATTAAGAAGCAATTCCTTATTTAGATAGAGCTATATAATTGAATCCTAAAAATTAGTCAGCATATTGGGCAATATTGTCGATTAGGACATAGCTTAAAATTAAATGACAAAGATCTCAAATTATAAGATTATGAAAAAATCTGAAGAGGCCTTAATTTATTATGATAAAGCACTAGATCTTAATCCATCTGACTCTTGTTCATTAGATGGAAAGGCTACCTTTATTCTATTTATAGGGTGTTTTACTACAAAAATATCTTATTAAATAATATAAAAGTAAAATTATAGAAAAAGAATTTAGAAGCTATTTAATTATTTGATTAGGTTTCTGCTATTAATCCTTTCGACGCTTATGCTTACTCAGAGAAAGGGAAAAAGAATTGATTGAACTTTTTAGCAGATACTCTATTATAAATTTAATTTTATCAAGCAATGGAACAGTGGAAAGAAGCTATAGTTTTATATGATAAAGCTATATCTCTAAAATCATTTAGCTTTCTTTGGAAAAGGTAATTAATTATATCTATTAAATTAGGAGATTGCTTGAGAATTTTAAAATATTATGAGGATGCATTAATTAATTTAGAATAAGTATTAGAAATTAAACATGATCATTGTTTTTCACTTACTTCTTAGGGTAATTAACATATTATAAATTTATAGGTGTGTGCTTATTATTAATGAAATTATTTTAAGAAGCAATTATATGTTTTCAAGCTGCATTTAAAATAGATCCTAATTATGATTTGCCAAAACAGAAACTAAGTATATTTATTTAATTATGAAATTTCATGTTAAATTGCATTATTAGAGAAAAATAAATGATAAAAATTTTAATATTTCATATTTTCATCTTAATCTAGATTTTATTTTATTCTTAAGAGTTGAAAATAGTCCTTTGTGTTCACAAAATGTGCATTTTGAGTCTTCGCATCCAAAACAAATTTTTTTATTGCATCCACTACAATTTATTATACCTTCCAATTAAGATTTCGTTTTTGTCCACTATTTGCATGCCGGACATTCTTTATAATTATCTCCTAATTAGAATTAAATATTTTTATTTCTGGTTTAACATTTATTTATTTCATGTTATTCTGAGAGACAACGAAGACAATATTTTTTTTTGCAATTTGAACATCTATAAATTTCTTAACCTTAAAATAAGAACACATTTTTGCATGATGGAGTTGGACAGCAAGATGTTTATACTTAAGTATTCTCTTGCAATTAATTCACAATTTCATCACTTATTGTTTAAGTTTCACAAATAGGACATTTATAAGTATGAAATATTTCATTTTCACAAGTTAAAATTGGTAAAACACATTGTTTATGAAACAAATGATTACAATGCATTTAGATTGTTTTAATTCTATTATTTTTATCAACATATTTATTGCAAATTTAACAATGTTCACATTAAACTATTTATTAAGATAATTTTCTAAAAGTATTTTAGAAACTCTGTAAAACGTCAATTAACTAAGAATTATTAAAATAAATACATATTCTTATTAATTGAGTATTCTATCATAAATATCATCTCTAATGTATGGTGTCAATAAATTACTATCAATTTTTAACTTCAAATTCTTCAATTATTCTACAAGACCTTTGATATCATTTATATTAGAAATATTCCTTCTTCCAATTTCTATTCCCAATATTAAAGCATCTACGAGTAATTCTTAGCCTTTTTATTCTGTATGTTTTATGATTTCAATAATATCATATAATTTCATTTTAATATTAATTCAATTTCCTAATAATTATTATTCTAATATTAATATCTCTATGATAAGAAAAAATAAAAAATATTTCTTCAATATTATTTTTATGTTTAATCGAATACTATATTATTATATTGAAATTTTTATTAATTTTAAATAGGCCCTGTTGTTGTAAAATTAAAAAATATAGAGTACGAAATAAACTTAATTAAATTAATTGTATAGAACTTCTGAAAAGCTTGGCTATCTATTAAATATTTTATAATATATAAATTTGTAAGAATTACAAAAAATCAAAAAGACTTTTAGGATTTTCATCAATTAAATTAAAAAGTTTTGGAATCTTTAAACAAATTTCAGTATACAATAGAAACCAAGTTAAATTACATTGGCATTATTGACATCAAATTTAACATATTTTAATAACAGTCTATTTGAAAATATTCTAGTTATAGCATTAGCTTTGAAGATGAGAAATCTAGAATGTCCTAATTTAATTTTTTTTAGGAAATTTAATTAATGAAAATAGATTAGAGATTAAAATATTTATGATTGTTTTTCAAAATTAATTATGATCGAGGTAAAACTGATAATATAGTATCNTTTTTTTGCAATTTGAACATCTATAAATTTCTTAACCTTAAAATAAGAACACATTTTTGCATGATGGAGTTGGACAGCAAGATGTTTATACTTAAGTATTCTCTTGCAATTAATTCACAATTTCATCACTTATTGTTTAAGTTTCACAAATAGGACATTTATAAGTATGAAATATTTCATTTTCACAAGTTAAAATTGGTAAAACACATTGTTTATGAAACAAATGATTACAATGCATTTAGATTGTTTTAATTCTATTATTTTTATCAACATATTTATTGCAAATTTAACAATGTTCACATTAAACTATTTATTAAGATAATTTTCTAAAAGTATTTTAGAAACTCTGTAAAACGTCAATTAACTAAGAATTATTAAAATAAATACATATTCTTATTAATTGAGTATTCTATCATAAATATCATCTCTAATGTATGGTGTCAATAAATTACTATCAATTTTTAACTTCAAATTCTTCAATTATTCTACAAGACCTTTGATATCATTTATATTAGAAATATTCCTTCTTCCAATTTCTATTCCCAATATTAAAGCATCTACGAGTAATTCTTAGCCTTTTTATTCTGTATGTTTTATGATTTCAATAATATCATATAATTTCATTTTAATATTAATTCAATTTCCTAATAATTATTATTCTAATATTAATATCTCTATGATAAGAAAAAATAAAAAATATTTCTTCAATATTATTTTTATGTTTAATCGAATACTATATTATTATATTGAAATTTTTATTAATTTTAAATAGGCCCTGTTGTTGTAAAATTAAAAAATATAGAGTACGAAATAAACTTAATTAAATTAATTGTATAGAACTTCTGAAAAGCTTGGCTATCTATTAAATATTTTATAATATATAAATTTGTAAGAATTACAAAAAATCAAAAAGACTTTTAGGATTTTCATCAATTAAATTAAAAAGTTTTGGAATCTTTAAACAAATTTCAGTATACAATAGAAACCAAGTTAAATTACATTGGCATTATTGACATCAAATTTAACATATTTTAATAACAGTCTATTTGAAAATATTCTAGTTATAGCATTAGCTTTGAAGATGAGAAATCTAGAATGTCCTAATTTAATTTTTTTTAGGAAATTTAATTAATGAAAATAGATTAGAGATTAAAATATTTATGATTGTTTTTCAAAATTAATTATGATCGAGGTAAAACTGATAATATAGTATCTATAAATATAAAGATCTTAATTATATCAATAGATTTGTTTGCAATAATTCAAGATTGAAAACATTAGCCAAATTAAAAATAATATTTATAATAGAAAAAAAATAGATATAAAATTATTTTACAAAAAACAATAAAAATCTGTAAAATATTGTCAAGTAATATCATTAATAAATAATGAATAAATGTTGAAAATTTTATTCTGGGAATAAAGAATAATGAATTATTTATGTTTATATAGTATTATTAATAGTAAAGTTTAGAATTTTTTCAATTAAAACAGTTACGATTAGAGAAAAATAAATAGATTACCATTGAAAATTAATAAATTTATGTAAAAATATATTAATTTAAACAGCTACCATCCAAACTAGAAGATAGAGAGAAACAATATGTTGTGTAATAGAAGGTCTTAGCTTGAATATATTTATAATAATAATAAAATTTGTTCCAGAATTTCTATGGTTTATTTAGGGATGTTCAGATGGAATAATAATAATGAAAAATCATTATGACATTTTAGGCTTAGAGAGGAATGCTAAACCTAATCAAATTAAGAAAGCTTATCATAAATTAGCCCTCCAGTGGCATCCAGTATTAATTTCTTAATGTTTATTTAGGATAAGAATAGTGAGTTTGGAGCAACTGATTAATTTTACTAAATAACAGAAGCCTATACTACATTATCTAAAGAAGAATCTAAATCAAAATATGATAAAAGACTTTAAACCAGAGATAATCTGAATGAACTCTTAAACTATTTTAAATAGTAATAAGAAGAACCACTCCAATAATATGATGTTAGAGACGATTTTATATCAAAAGAGGATCGAGAATTCATTAGAAACTTTTCAAATAAACAAGAAATAGAAACAATTAAAAAAAAGAGAATTAGAAAACAAAAATGAAAATCTTTCCTTTAAAATAAATTTTTTTAAAATCATAATTTGGATCAGAAATAATTGTATCTCCATATGGATACTAACCAATCCATTTTTTATCTTTTAAAAACCTTAAAAACTTATTCTAATATATTTAATGTATATAATTTATTCTTAAATACTAAGTATTTCTCCTTTTTCCTCTGTTATATTTATTATAGTTACTCTATTTTCTTATTCAAACCTTATATCAATAAAATATTTTATTCATTGATCTTCAAATACAAAATATATTAATATATCCCATCACTAAGATTATTCTTCTTATTTGTAATAATAAAACTCTCTTATCATATATTTTAAGTTTCTTTTCTTATCTTTGTAGAAATCTTTTAATTGTGATAGTATAAAAAAATCCTAAATTTAGCAAAATTTAAATATTCATTCTAATTCTAAAATTCTTACAAATATAAACATAAGTAAAAATAAAAAATATATATGATGAGGAACTTCAATTAGTAAGATCTAATTTCTATAAATTTAATTTTGTATATATACTGTTATAGGTTAAGAAAAACTAAGCATCTCTTAAATCATTATGTATATATTTACTTTATTCATTTATCTATCTTAAATTTGAAGAAATAAGTGATTAAATATTTTCGATAAATGAGATTTTAAATGATAAATAATGGATATATTTTTATATTTTTAATATATATATATTTAATACTAAAATGATTTTATTATAATTGAATTTTGAGTAAAGGAAGTGTAAAATTTTCTTATCTAACTATCCATATAATAATGCACCTTATTTTGGACATTATTTTTAGATTTTCAAGTTATTAATTCTAAGTTTATAATTTAGATTTTAATTAATTTTTGATTCCAGTAAATAATTCCATTTCTTTGTTACATGATGGTATTAATTTAAATAATTTATCTTAAATCTATTAGCATCACTTTCAAAGCTCATAGTTAAATAATTAAATTTTTTCAATTAAAAAAGCTTCCTTCTCGTTATCTATATAATCATCTTTAGTTTTGATTATATGTTTTAATCTTTCAATTTGAGGTATTAAAATTAAATAGCTTAAACTTCTGTAATTGTTATTTTACTATAAGTAAGCTATTTAAACTTAAATATTAGTGAAAAATTTTTAACTATGAATATTAAATAAATATGATATTATTTGTCAGCAATATTTTATATATCTTCCCTTAATTAAAATTGGCCACATTTAAATCTTTAACATTGTTTTGCTCTTTAATGAAACATGTACATTTTCACAATACATTTCTATATTGGAGTTATATAAGCTTAATCTTCAAATTATCTAAAATTTATTATTCATGATTCTTATACATTAAATCTACATTCACATTCTTTCTTTAACTCTTTTTTAATAATTCACTAATATTTTGACTTCTAGATTAATTTTAAAATTGCTCTCTCTTAAATGATTAATTTCAATTTGAGAGACTCATTTAATATTTTTGAATTATTGTAATTTTTTATACTTCGACATTCTATTATGCTAATTTTATTTCAGTTTCAATAGATGCAAAAAGAAACCATCAATTTAATTATGAAAGAGTTGAATTAGATTTTTATAATTTTAATTTAGCATCATCTAATTTGATTTAAGTAGTGAATTTTTTTCATCATCAATCTCCTAATAAGTTATTTGATAAATAATAATCAATTCAATATTTATTTTATAAATAAAAAAGAAAATGAGTTTAATCAAATTAATTCTTTTTTAAATTTTAGAAAAAGTTGCTTTAAGTTAAGGATGTTTTGTAAAGAATTTTATTTATTATTTAGTTGAGATATTAAGTCTAAAATAGTTTGATAACAATTACATAAGGTGAACATATTGAGTTTGACATACTTCATTATATGATAGGAGTTTCTCTTCAATTCTAAATTCAACCTTATTCTCCTAAACCACTAGAGTTTCCTTATATTTATTTGTAAAAATCATTCATATTGGGAAAATTTTTTGATGAAATTATTGATATGGATTTAAAATTCACCAATCCATTTCAAGAATTGACTTATTATGCTCTTGTGAAATTAAATTTAGATGACCAAATAAGTCATCGAATGGTAGAATATACTCTTAACTCAAAAAATGACATGACAATTTCTAATAATACCCTTATTATCAATTCAGAGGTATGTTATCATGTAAGATAAAATTATGAATTCTTTGTTGTTACATGCTTGAATTAAGATAATATGCTCTATATTGTTATTGATTTTCTGCCCTTATAATTTAGATAGTCTTTTTTGTTAGATGATATTAAAGTGCCTTCATAATCTAAGGTTATAACTAAAATAAAACTGAATTATATTGGAATTTTAATCAGCAAAGGAAAAATGGAAAATGATGAGTATATATCAGAATATTCTTAACTAATTATTTTCTATTTTANATCTATATAATCATCTTTAGTTTTGATTATATGTTTTAATCTTTCAATTTGAGGTATTAAAATTAAATAGCTTAAACTTCTGTAATTGTTATTTTACTATAAGTAAGCTATTTAAACTTAAATATTAGTGAAAAATTTTTAACTATGAATATTAAATAAATATGATATTATTTGTCAGCAATATTTTATATATCTTCCCTTAATTAAAATTGGCCACATTTAAATCTTTAACATTGTTTTGCTCTTTAATGAAACATGTACATTTTCACAATACATTTCTATATTGGAGTTATATAAGCTTAATCTTCAAATTATCTAAAATTTATTATTCATGATTCTTATACATTAAATCTACATTCACATTCTTTCTTTAACTCTTTTTTAATAATTCACTAATATTTTGACTTCTAGATTAATTTTAAAATTGCTCTCTCTTAAATGATTAATTTCAATTTGAGAGACTCATTTAATATTTTTGAATTATTGTAATTTTTTATACTTCGACATTCTATTATGCTAATTTTATTTCAGTTTCAATAGATGCAAAAAGAAACCATCAATTTAATTATGAAAGAGTTGAATTAGATTTTTATAATTTTAATTTAGCATCATCTAATTTGATTTAAGTAGTGAATTTTTTTCATCATCAATCTCCTAATAAGTTATTTGATAAATAATAATCAATTCAATATTTATTTTATAAATAAAAAAGAAAATGAGTTTAATCAAATTAATTCTTTTTTAAATTTTAGAAAAAGTTGCTTTAAGTTAAGGATGTTTTGTAAAGAATTTTATTTATTATTTAGTTGAGATATTAAGTCTAAAATAGTTTGATAACAATTACATAAGGTGAACATATTGAGTTTGACATACTTCATTATATGATAGGAGTTTCTCTTCAATTCTAAATTCAACCTTATTCTCCTAAACCACTAGAGTTTCCTTATATTTATTTGTAAAAATCATTCATATTGGGAAAATTTTTTGATGAAATTATTGATATGGATTTAAAATTCACCAATCCATTTCAAGAATTGACTTATTATGCTCTTGTGAAATTAAATTTAGATGACCAAATAAGTCATCGAATGGTAGAATATACTCTTAACTCAAAAAATGACATGACAATTTCTAATAATACCCTTATTATCAATTCAGAGGTATGTTATCATGTAAGATAAAATTATGAATTCTTTGTTGTTACATGCTTGAATTAAGATAATATGCTCTATATTGTTATTGATTTTCTGCCCTTATAATTTAGATAGTCTTTTTTGTTAGATGATATTAAAGTGCCTTCATAATCTAAGGTTATAACTAAAATAAAACTGAATTATATTGGAATTTTAATCAGCAAAGGAAAAATGGAAAATGATGAGTATATATCAGAATATTCTTAACTAATTATTTTCTATTTTACAATTGAATCTATAAATACTTTTTAAGATAAACTTATTATTGTAATGTATAAATAGTATGAAGTGCTAAAAGAGCCTGATGATTTTATTACAGATTTTGAAATATATAAAAATATGGGTATATTAATATTAAATATTAGTTTTTATATCAAGATATAAAAAAGGATTATCTTTTAAGTTTTTGGATGTTGTTTGGAGTAATGAAACTTTATTATATCATCCATTAGACTAAGTGGTTTTGGGAATTAAATATATAACAGAATTTTTGCCAAATGGAAACTTATTTTTCATTCTTTGGACAAAAAATAAAATTCTATTTTTAAGGGTTATTTTTAATTAATTAAAATAATTAGAACTAAGGATTATCTAGGAATATCCAGACTAATAATTTCAAGTATTCGAGATTACAGTGAAAACGTATCTTCGATATGTGATTTTTTTGAGAGATGAAGACTTTTAAGTTATGAAAATTGAAATATTCCCTGATTCAACTTTTCATTTTATACCGTAATTTACTGAAAGAGTTTCTACAAAATTCGTTTTGGTAAATGAATACTCAGACCTTCTAATATACCATGATAAGAATTATTTATATGGTCTTTATTTAGGAAACACTTAAATTGAAATCGCGAATCTAAATGAATTACAACCTCCTTAATTAATAATAATAAAATCAAAAACAGCTACTGGTATATAATGCCAAGATGTTAGGATATATTATCAAGTTGTACCTAAAGATGTTGAGTTGATATAACTATCTTTTTACATAGAGAATGAAAATAATATGATAATTTTGAATTATAAACAAACTGATAAAAGAATATAAGTTGATCTAGATAAAATATTAACGGGTTTAGCATTAGATATCTAATCAATTAAATTACAAGTGTAAAGCAAATATTAAGTAGAGTACTCTAGTGCTTCTTAACCTGTTTTATTGTATGAGGATACTTAATCGGAAAATCAGTTATTATATGGTGATTCTGTATTTTTTTGCAAACATTATCATTATGAGAGGGATACTGAATAAAAAATATTATTTATTAAAGATAATGCAATAAGCCTGATCCATTGTTTTTATGAAGAATATTCAATTTGTAAAAATAAATATAGATTTCTAATTCTGGACTTTGAAGAAGTTTAAGATTGCCATTGCATTATCCGTAAAGGATTAATGTACATAAGTATTATATCCATTATGAATCAAGATTCTAAGTAAAATTCATTAACAATAATGATAATTGATTTAAAAAAATTAATACCTGATTAAATTTTCTTACATCCATAAGATGAAGGTATAATTATTTAAGCCATAACAATTCATCAAAAAACTATATATATAGTGCTTAAAGAAAATAAATACTCGTTAAATTTTAGGGATAATAAAAATGTTTTTAATATTTATTCGATTTAAATAGATTGTTATAAATTCTTTAAGTTTTAGTAGTATCAAGAAATCATAGATATGTATTAAACTGTTTTGATTCCACTGATATAATATGACAAATACAATTACTACATTAATATTGGAATTTATATGATTAAACATATTGAAATAGAGTTAGTAAGGATGATAACTATTGATGTTACTAAAACACCAGATTAGGAAACTTTGTATCTTGAGATCGCCTCATCAATTACTATTTATCTTGTATGGCTTACTGATACAGATAAAGGATAAATTAAAAGAATAATCTAAATAGATTCTAATTCTTTAATTTAAAATTTTTACAATACAAAAATAGATAAGGATATTTAAATAAAATTTGTCAAAACAAAAACTTTACCATATTTTGAACTTTAATAAATTTATAAAATAAGCCTATCTTCACGATATCTTTATGTTTATGGAAGTGAAGTTAATGTACCGGCTTGCATATATATATATACAGTTGATTAATCTACAAATTGGTTCAAATCTTTATACCATATAATTAGAACTAATGATTAAAAGTTCCCAATTTTTAATAGCTTTTCTACAATAGGATTTGAGGGAATTTTTGTGAATTATAATCCTATGACATATTGGTTAGTTCAAAATAAATATTTATTAATTAATAACTTAAATTAAAATAATAAAGAAAGTAAGAATGATGTTGTAATTATTGAAATTTTAATAAAAACTCTAGTTAAAAAAGATGATACGAAAGTGTAAACTTTTTTTTTAAAGCTGAAATGTGAGGATTGCGAAGAGATGGAAAATGAATAAAGGAAAGAAAAATTTGAATGAATAATCTAAAATTACAAATATTGTAATTATAATATTAAGTTATTTTATAATATAATTTATAGAAAAATAAAAGGAAAATCAAATAGTAACATTTATATTGCTGGATTGATATTTAGTAAAATAAATGTTTCTAAAAAATTTGGATACTATAAAGAAATCCTACATAATTCTTTTAAACCACATTTCTGCAACCATCATTTAGTTATACTTATTTTTATAAAAGCATTCCATTATAGATTCAATCACATAAGCAGAGAAATAAAACTCATAAAATATATCATTTATTCAAGAATTCTTCATTATAACCAAAACAATTTTTCAATTTATATTGTTGCTTAATACCATCATATATTACCAGTTTTTTAACTATTATTTTTCATATTAAGAATAGAATCATAATTTTGAAAAAGAGTTTATTTAGTAAATTCACAATAATCAATACATCATTCCTAATTTAACCTTCTAATATAATATTTTCTTCTATTCTTGTTATATTCTAAACGAAAATTTTTTACATGATTAAAAAAAATTTAGATTGGTTCTCAAAATATTATAATGAAACTAATTATTGCTATAACACAGGGGATTGAGTAAATAATTGAAGCGAAAATGAGACAATGTATAACTATTGTCTAAGTTTTTATTAAGATAAGTTGTAATCTTTAATTTTATTGATTATTATAAAAAATGCATACATCAACCATTCTCTCACATTTTGATAAAGCCTTAAAGCTCAAATCTTAAATAGTTCGAACTTTGAAATGAAAAAAGATATTTTC